TTAATCTTATTATGGGTTTTATTCGTTTTCAGATCGATGACTCGAATGAAATTATTATTATTACTTTATCGCTGTTGAATTAGTTCTTATTGCTAGCCGTATTATCGTTTATCAGTATCAGTATTCTTATTATTCACATCGAATCGTCATAAAAAACTATTCAACACTCTGAAGTTGGTGTGAATCACGTCTGAATAATGGAATCTGGTGAACGTATCGTGAAATTATTCGGTCGAGAGTATGGTCGAGAGGCGTTCGTCTCAAGATTGTTCTACTTGTGTTTCTTTGCCTCATTCGGTTCATTGTTCCCGTTATTGGGAATCTATTTCAAACAGCTGGGCATGAACGCTGCCCAGGCTGGTTTTTTGCTGGGCGCAAGGCCATTAGTGGAATTCGCATCGAGTCCTTTCTGGGGCAGTTTCGCGGATCGTTTCAAGAAGGTATCGTCGAATTCATTGATTTCCTCCCAAATCCTTATTTCATACTATATTCCAATTCGTTAAATGCCACAATCATTCACTAACAAGGCTATATCTCTTTCACAAATCATTGTTCCTATCATTATTGTAATTAGAATTGTACCAATGATTAGGCTGATTAGAGTTGAACTATTACCATTGCTAATATCATTTGTATCTTTCTCACAAATTATTTCACCAGCAATGTGCTCTGACGATTACGTATTGTAGAGAGATCTGTTGCCGATTGCATTGAAAAGTTTCCATTCGGCAAGCTCTCGTGCATATTCCATGTTTCTACTGAAGCAATTTTGATGAACAACCTAAAATTTCTGATTATTTCACTTGAAGTCATAATTTCTTCTGAGAATTTTGAATCATTATCATGTATTCTTTATGTTTCACTCATTTATCATTATCGCGTTGTAGCTGCTGATCAATTGTGGAGCAATTGAGGAAGAGATATGCCTTGTATCACATTACTCTTTCACATATTGGTTCATTAATTTTTTTACCATCGGAAAATTTTCACGCAAATTGACAATTTCACACAATTGCTTGCATGTTGTTAGACGAAACCTTCACGGTTCTTCAGTCTATCGCGATGATTATGAAATTTTGTAACTGTTGAGGTAGTGCTAGGTGTGGAATAATGATTGTTTCTTTCAGAAAGAAACTCAACTGACATGCTCACTATA